CCAAGGATAGAACCAGAAACAATGGGTTTAAACTGCAGCAAGGGAGGTCTAGGTTGGACATTAGGAAAAAGTTCCTAACTGTCAGGGTAGTTAAACACTGGAATAAATTGCCTAGGGAGGTTGTGGAATCTCCATCTCTGGAGATATGTAAGAGTAGGTTAGATAAATGTCTATCCGGGATGGTCTAGACAGTATTTGGTCCTGCCATGAGGGCAGGGGACTGGACTCGATGACCTCTTGAGGTCCCTTCCAGTCCTAGAATCTATGAAGTCGGGGGGGGGGGGGGCTCCAGGGGCTCACTGACAACAGGGTACTAAACGGGATGCTCCCAAATTACTAGCAGACACCCCACCCCCTGGGAGAGCTCAGGGACTGTGCTTCTGACCACGTCACCCCTCCCCCCTGTTCCCACAGTGCCCCCTGCTAGGACAGGCCGGGGCTGGAGTGGCCAGGAGCCCCCCCACACACACAGCCAGCTCCTGCCCCCCTCCCCACAGCACCCCCTGCTGGGAGAGGCCGGGGCTGGAGTCGCTGGGAGCTGCCCCACAGCCAGCACTGGGCCTTGGGGAGGGGAGAGTTCTGCAGCTGGGGGGCTCACCCCATATCTCTGCCCCACTCCCCAGGAGCCCACACTCCATTCTAGGGTAGCCAGCGCCCTGCCCGGGCTGGGTCTATGCCCGGGAGCCATGCCCAGGCCGCCCCAGGCCCAGCGGGGCCCTGCCTTACCTTCCCCGTGGCCATACTTGGCGCTGTGGGCCCACGTCACGGCCGACTCAAAGCCCAGCTCCCTGCAGGCCACGCTGGCCACGTGGATGTCGAAGTCGTCGTCGCACACGGTCCCCCACTGCCCGTCATACAGCACCTCCAGCCGCCCCTCGCCAGCCTGGCTCCTGGCCCCCGCCAGCCGCACCTGGATCCGCGGGGGCTGCTGCCAGCTGGGGGTCGCCAGGCACAGCAGGAGCAGGGTGGGGATGGGTCCGGCCAGCATCACTGATCCTCCACAGACAGACTCCTGGAAACAGCGGGACATGGCGGGGGTC